GGTAGGGCCCTGGGGCCCCTCACTTGGCCAGATTCACTAAACCAGGTTTGCCGTAACCGGTGTTTTTCGGGTGACGGCAGTTCCGTCTAGTGGGAATGGGGCGAGAGGTCCGCCCCCGGTACAGATCACTAAACCAGGTTCCACTAAACCCAGTTCTGCCAACGCCCGATCTGAGCTCCGTCGCCGCCCGCACCTCTGAGGGGCCGCTCCCCCGGGAGCGTGCCTGCGGGCCGCATATGCCGTGCCGTGCCGGGCCCGCGCGGGGCCTTCTGGCTCGGCGCTGGCCCCCGGGCGCCCCCCCGGCGCAGCCCCCACGGCCGACGTGCCTTCGTTCTCGATTGCGGGAGGCGCCCCACGTGAAAGATGGGAGCCCTATCGTCGAAGACCCTCGGGCGCAAGCCCCGACGCGCGAAGCGCACAACACGCGCCCTTCGAGACCACCGGCTGCAGGGGCTGGCCATCGCTCCTCGTGGCCCCCACGGCCACGAGGAGGCGGAGGCGGAAGACGAGGAGGAGGAGGAGGAGGAGGAGGAGGAGGAGGAGGAGGAGGAGAAAGAGAAAGAGAAAGAGGAGGAGAAGAAGATGAAGGAGGAAGAGGAGGAGGAGGAGGCGGAGGAGGAGGAGGAGGAGGAGGAGGAGAAGGAGGAGGAGGAGGCGGAGGAGGAGGAGGAGGAGGAGGGGGGAGGAGGAAGAGGAGAAGGGGGGGCTCCGACGAGCCGGGTTCGCCGGCGGGCCCCCCCCGGGAGGGCTGGGAGCCTCTCGGGGGTCGGCGCGCTCCTGCGTGTCCTGCGCTCTGCCCCGCCGGAGCTGGCAGGGTCCTGGTCTGCGCGGCGGCCTGGTGTGCGGGGCCCCGGGGGGGGAGGGGAGGGGGAGGCGGGCGGCGGCAGGCGGGACGGCGGCGGGCGAGCCCGAGGACCCTGCCTCGCTCGCTCCTGTTTCCGCTTCCTCCCTCCCTCCTTCCCGCCCTCCTCCCTCTCTCTCGCTCCTCCCTCCCCTCTCTCCCCTATCCCCTCCCTCCGCCGGCTCCTTCCCTCCCCTCCCCTGCCTCCCTCCCTCTCCCCCTCCCGCCCTTCCCCTCCCTACTCGAACGGTGCCTTATCTTTTCTTGTCCGCCTGCCCCCTCCCCTCCCTCCCCTCCCCTCCCTCCCCTCCCTCCTCCTCTCACTCGTCCTCCCTCCCTCCCCTCCTTTCTTCCCTGCTCGAGCGGTGCCCGATCTTGTCCTGCCCGCCGCCGCTGGGCTCTCAGAGCTCCCTCGGTCCGTGTCAGGGATGTGGCCGTGGCAGGCCATGGCGGCCGAGCCCCGTGACACCCTCGGCTCGCCTGTCGGGCAGATCGGCGGCGAAATCCGCCCTCGCCGATCAACGATCCAGGCATCTCGATGGGCGGCGGGGGCAGGGCATGGAATTCGCCGAGCGCGTGGCGAGATCCGAGCCCTGCCCCCGCACCCCATGTACAGTCGGGGCCCTGAAGAAGGAACCCTTTTCGTTGGGGAGGGGCTCCGCGTTCCTTAAGTGTTTCACAACTTGCCTCAGGCTTCTCTTATGTTTTCGGCAGGAAATCGAAGGTTAACTTATGGAAAGAAGGGGCCTCGTTCCTTATTTAGGGTTCTTTAGGTCAACGCCCCGACTGTGCTCGGGAGGTCCGATGGTCGGTGGGGGTCGGGTTCGGACGTCGCCCCCTGGCAAAGCCGCCCCCTGCTGCGGGCAGGACTCGCGTCTACATCCACACTGCCGCCTGGAGCTTCGGGCTCCGCTCAGAGCACGAAACCCGAGGCCTTGGCATCGCTCGGACGTGTGCCTTTTTCCTTCGGCGAGGGCCATCGAGGAGCATCCTTGATCACTTTGGAGAACAAACCGCGCACGAAACCGAAAAAGACACAGGGAATGGACGTCCGAGCGATGGCCAGGAGGCGCACTGGATGTGGACGAAGATGTGGCCACTGCAGGCTCGACCCTTGTCCATCCACGGCGCCTCGGCCTTTCGGCGCCCCTTCCAAGCACGCCCAGGGCGCACTGGATGTGGATCTATAGACTCAGGAGGGAAAGAAACACACAGACACAATGAATCGTCCACTCCCAGGAAAATATGGGGAACATATGGGAAGTGGGGGGACAAACAACCCAGAACACATGGGAAACTATGGGGACTCTTTTTTTTTCATTTGTGTGTATTCATTTGGGTGTGCTGGGGCCCATTTGGAGAGATTTGCCCGCGCCTGCTCGCCCCCATCCCCCCTTCGCGCGCCTGCTCCTCCCCCCCCCCTCCTCGCGCCGCCGCCCCCGCACCAGCTGGTGGGAGCGCGACGGCGGCGGCAAGTGGGGCCGCGGCGGCTGGCGGGAGGACGGCCCGCGCGGCCCCCGCCCCCCGCAACGAGGTTGATGGCCGTAGGTCGAAGGACGTTCTGCGCATTTTGTCGCAGACCAGACGAGCAAAAATGTTGATCACCACCCACCAAACCACCCCAACCCAACCCGAAGGCCCAAATTTATCCTCGATTTCCAGTGGGGGCGGTCGGGGAACATCGAAAAAACACATGGGATCCGTACCCCCCCCAACCCGAAATTCGGGTCGAATTCGGGCCTTCGGGTTGGGTTGGGGTGGTCTGGTAGGTAGTCAGTTGAGGGTAAATCATCTCTGAAGTTGACCCCCATGTGAGTCCTCTGACTTGCGTGCGAAGATGAACTGGAGGGCCCGCGACAAACTCGCCCGCCGTCCGCCCGCTCCCGCCCGCCCGCTCTGCGCGTGCGCTCCGGCGACCTTGTGGACGCAGACGCTCGGAGGAGGGAGCACCACCAGGGGAGGCACTCTTAAAGTCGGGCGTGTCCCCCTAATTACAGAGGGACTTTCGACGAAACATAAAAAATACAACAAAAATAGTCCAAACATAGTCTGGGGATTATTAGTTGAGTATTTTTTTGGCCATTTTGGCGTATGTTTGCGGTATCTTTATGTTTCGTCGAAAATCCCCTGTGGGGGGACACGCCCGGTCCTCTCGGCTTCCGGGGGCGCCTCTCTGGGGCCCCGGCGAGCCAGCAAAAACGGCTCGGGATGAGAAGAAGCGACGAGAAACCGCGGCGTCCCCCCCGGAGCAGGAACAGATGCCGATGCTGCCGCTCGCCCCGGAGAGCCCTCGTCGCCGCGCCCAGATCCTCCCTCGACTTCTGGCGTTGCCGGCGGCGTCGGCGTCGCTGTCGTCGTCGTCGTCGTCGCCATCGTCGTCGTCGTCGTCGTCGTCGTCGTCGTCGTTGTCGTCGTCGTCGTCGTCGTCGTCGTCGTCGGCGTCGTCGGCGTCGTCGTCGTCGTCGTCGTTGTCGTGGTTTTTGTGTGTTGTCGCTGGGGAGGGCGTTTTTCCTGCGGGCCCTCGTCGCCGTCGGCCGGGCGCTGTGCTCGGAGGGCCGGGGCGGGGCGGGGGCCCCGTGGAGGGCCCTGGGGTGGGCTGTGGGCGCGCCGTGCGCACACGGTTTTTAAGGGTTATGTCGGGCGTGTACCCATACAGGGGGATTTTCGACGAAAAACAAAACATACCCCCCAAAAAGGTCAGAAAAAAAGTAAAAAAAATGCCAGGGGGCTATGTTTGAGCATTTTCTTGCTATGTTGAGGGTGCTTTTAATTTTGCGTCGAGAATCCCCCTGTAGGAGGACAGGCCCGACTTAATTTTAGAGGTCTGGCGATATTGGGGGTTATCGGGCCCGGCAGCCCCCCCTCCTTCCCCCCGGATAACCTGACCTTGTGCGTTGCGCAGGTCCGAAAAGGGTGCGCCGCACCTGTGCGCGCGGGCATGCGTGGTTTCTGCCCACTGCGAAACGCTTGTGTTCTCGGGCGTCGCCTCCCCCCCCACAGGACGACCCAGCGTATCGCCGAAAAACGAATCGACTCGAGTCGCCTGCCTGCATCAGCGATACGCTAAGCATAAGTTCTGGACCAGTCAGGGGTTCGAGGTTCGCTAAGCGACACCTTATGTACAGAGGTTCGAGGTTCGAGAGCGTTCTGTGGGTGTCTGGATCGTCCCGAACGACCGCCAGGGAGCGGATTTCTGCTTCGAGAACCAGGGAGGAACGTCAGCGGGGGATAGGCAAAGGGGGAGGGGTGCATCGACCCCCAATCGCCCATTCATCGCCGACAGGGGCCCGTTCTCCCTCTGCTTCCCGATCGCCCTCCTCCTCCTCCTCCTCCGCCTCCTCCTCCTTACAACGACACCAGCAGCACAGCACCAAACGACTCCAGCGAGTCCGACGTATGCAGCAACCCACCTGCACACCAGCCAAACGCGCAGAACGACGTCAGCGACGACGAGTGCGCGCAACCGGGCAATACGCAAAACGAGGACGTCGAATTGTGGTCCGACTTCATCCGCAGGAATACACGTATAGCAGAGACATTGATGTTGAAGCATGATCTACCCGATGTACTCCACTTACACCGAAGGATGGCCCGGCGCTGGGCAAATACGGTGGCTCTTCACCCTCCGACACGCTGGACACAGAGAGTGCTTAATTGGAGCCCAAATCTTGACACTCGACAGCAAGGACGACAGCAACAAGGAGGGCAACAAAAACGATGGGACGACGACATCTGGAAGTTTCTCCACCCATTGGACGGGCACCACTGCGACACCGACACCGGGCAGGAGCAGATCCGAGCGGCGACCCAACCACGACACACCAAAACAACAGCACAAACGACCTGCGGTGGTTACCAGCGGCTGGGAGCACTGACTGTGAGTGGTGGTTATCACGTGAGTCCGCCTATGTTTCACATGTTTGAGGCCACGGCTTCCACGCCATGCCCTCATGGGCACGGGCGTGCTCCCCGTAGGAGCACGCACGCCTCCGGCGTTTCGCTTCGCTTCGATTCGCTTCGCTTCCTCCTCCTCCTCCTCCTCCTCCTCCTTCTCCTCCTCTCCTGTTCCTTCTGGCCCAGAGGCGCCTGGCCTGGCTGAGGTCCGTCGCCGGCTGAGGCAAGGGCTCCACCCGCATCCGCACAAGAAGAACGTGCGGTTGGACGAGGCCCGGGGCCCGAGCGCGGCAGCGCGTGCCAGCTGGCGCACTGTGCTGGGCCCGCAGGTTGTTGGCGGCGCTGCCGCCAGCTATGGCTTGACCTTGGAGCTTATTGACCACGCGACGGTTTGCCGTGCTCCACGGCTTCCTGGACCCGCCACCGGCGATCGCCTGGGAGCGCCGAAACGCGCAGGAGGACGAGGAGCGGGCTCGCCACCGCGAGGAGGCCTCTCAGGGCTCCTGAGCGGGCCTCGGGTGTCTCGGTCTGGTGCTGTTTTCGGCCAGGTGCCGCAGCGTCACCACGGTTGGACCCGGCTCGGAAGCTGGGATCTACCCTCCAGCCCAAACAATTGGATGGTAGAGCTGTGGTGGCGTGGGTGGCCCGCCGGCCCGCTTGTCGTTTCGCCCGACCCCGCAGAGCGGGGGCCCGCCGAGTAGGCGCAGCAAGCCTGGACTGACATCCGCTCTCATTCTCATTCTCATCCTTCCCATCCCCTCCTCCCACTCGTCCTCCTCTTCCTCCTCCTCCTCCTCCTCCTCTTCCTCCTCCTCCTCCTCGTCCTCCTCGTCCTCCTCGTCCTCCTCGTCCTCCTCATCCTCCGCCTCCTCCTCCTCTTCTCCCGCTCCACTCCTCCTCCACTCCTCCTGCTCCTCCTGCTCCTGCCCCTGCTCCTTTTCCTCCTCCTCCTGCTCCTGCTCCTCCACCTCCTCCGCCGCTTCCCTTCCCTCTCCTCTCCTTTTCCTCCTCCTCCCTCTCCACATCCCCCTCCCCCTCCCCCTTTCCCTTTTCCTCCTCCTCCTCCTCTTCCTCTTCCTCCTCCTGCTCCTCCTGCTCTTGCTCCTCTCCTCCTCCTCCTCCTCCTCCTGCTCCTGCTCCTGCTCCTGCTCCTGGTCCTCCTCCTCCTCCTCCTCGGTGCCCTTCATCCTCTCTCCTTCCTCTGAGGGTCGACGTTGTGGAGCAAAAACACGACGTCGGGGGAGCCTTGGGACGGGGGTCAATGCAAACGGGGGTCAGCCAGATCGCCGGATCTTGTAGGATCCTGCAACGCCAGGGTTGCATTGGCCCGGATTAGTACGCAGGATCCGGCAGGATCCTGCGGTATCCTGCAAGGCCTGATTGACCCAGGTTGCATTGATCGGGTCAGTGCGTCTGCGACCCCTTTCCCTTGTCCCTCAACCCCCTTTGCCCCCCTTCCTATCGTTCTCCCCCCTGCCCTGTCGCCCCCCTCCCTCGCCCCCCCCCTCACCCTGTCCGGAAGATAGACGGCCCTCTCCGCGTATTGTTTTTCTACAGGATTTCAAACGTTCTTCTGACTGCTTCGGTTTTTGACTGTCGGATTGTTTTCTGTGTTTCGAAATCGTGCTCCCGCTGAAGCGTGGGCCTCATTTTCTGATCGGCGCTCTGCTCCCGTCGTTCAGATTGGCGCTCTCGCCCAAGGGCGGGCCACTTTTCTCGATCCGGTTCCGTTATCATCGTTGCCACCCTCCTCATTTCCCCTCCTCCGCCTTCCCCTGATCCTCTTGGTTCTACCGCTCCTTCCACTCGAGTTCCTGCTGTTGCTTTTCGACCTCGTCCTCCTTCCTCCTTCCTTCTTCCTCCTCTTTCTACTGCTCATCCTCCTGCTCATCCGCCACCTCCTCCAATGCACGCAGCTCCTCTTTTCCCACTGCGCATAAAACGATGGGGTCCTTTCTGGAATTCCAGGTCCCCCCTCGCCCCCTCTCCCGTTCTCTCTTCCGCGCCACCCGCCAGAGTAGGACAGAAGGCCGTTGGGGAGGGGGCAGGCTGGCAGCGCTGCTCATTTTTCGTTCTTGAGGCGATTGCTTCCACTTCGAGTTAGTCTTTCGAGATTGGCTGCCGCTCACGCGAGGTCGGGATGCGTAGGAGTGGCCGCAATTGGCAGGAGCGGGCCCGGCCCCCTTTCCCCCCCTCCCCAGGACGACTCCTGGTGGTCTGGGTCCTGGGGCAGCGGTCGAGGCGCGCGCCCCCCCCCTCCCCCTTCCCGGAGGAGGAGATGAATGTCGGGATGCTGCTGCTGCTGCTGCTGATGCTGCTGGTGCTTGTGCTGATGCTGCTGCTACTGCTGCTTCAGATGGTGGTGGTGCTGCTGCTGATGGTGATGGCGATGATGATGTTGATGCTGATGTTGATGCTGATGCAGATGCTGATGCTGAGGACGTGGGCGAGGGTGAGGACGAGGATGCTGCTGCTGATGATGCTGATGATGAGGACTCCGATCACGATGATGATGACGATGATGATGCTGCTGCTGATGATCATGATAATACTGCTGATGCTGCTGATGCTGCTGATGAAAATAACGATGATGCTGCTGATGATGATGCTGATGATGATGCTGATGATGATGATGTTGATGATGATGATGATGATGATGATGATGAGGATGCTGCTGATGATGATGCTGATGCTGCTGCTGATGATGATGATGATTATGATGCTGATAATGAAAGTTGTGATGCTGCTGATGCTGATGGCGATGCTGATGGTGATGATGATGCTGGTGATGGTGATGATGCTGCTGATGCTGCTGCTAATGATGCTGATGATGCTGCTGATGCTGCTGATGATGATGATTATGATGCTGATGGTGAGGATTACAATTCTGGTGTTGGTGGTAGTGCTGATGCTGCTGATGCTGATGTGGAGGATGATGGTGATGCTGCTGTTGATGATGATGCTGATGGCGATGGTGATGGTGATGGTGAGGACGATGATATGAAATTGAGGATGACAAGACTAACGCCAATGAGCATGCTGATTATGCTGATGATGCTGCTGATGATGTTGATTATGATTCTGATGATGATCTTGCCGATTATAATGATGAGTGTAGTGATGATGATGGTGATGGTGATGCTGGCGGTTGTGCTGACGATGAGGATGATGGTGGTTGTGATGGTGATGGTGATGGTGATGGTGGTCGTGAAGGTGGTGGAAACGATGATGCCGGGAGAATAGAAGCGGGAGGGCGCGCGGCAGGGAAGGCGAGCCTCAGCAGCCGAGGTCTGGTTTGTGGTGGGTGGGATTGGGCGTCTGAGCGATAGTCATCGTTGCTTCAGGTGCACAGGCCGCCAAAAGCGTTTCTAGCAGTCACAAAGCTGCAGGGGCCCAGGCCATGAATGGCACCACTCTTGCCGTACCGCTGTGGCCCGTGTCCCAGCATTCGTTCACACTGCAGGCGGTCTCTAAAGCTTGCTCTTCCCAGCGGGCAGCGATCAAACAGCAGGGCACCACATGAGCCGTCAATGGAGCAGCGGAGTCCAACAGGATCTGGTCACTTTTTGCGGAGGCCAGTCTCTGCCGGCCTCCACGCTCGGCCCCCTCTCCTCGGAGGGCCGTGCTTGAGCAGGGTGGCGGTGCTGCTGCGGGGGTCAAGCATTAGAGCCACTCTTGCCATACTGCTGAGGCCCGTGTTCCAGCATCTGTTCAATCTGCTGGCTTTCTCTAGAGCTTACCGTTCTAGAGCAGCAGAGTGCCACGGGAGCCATCAACAAAGCAGCAGAGTACGATAGGATCTGGCGAATTTTAGCGGAGGCCAGTCATTGCGAGCCCGCGCGCTTCCTTTCCGCGAGGGTTGTGCTTGAGCAGAGGGCGCAGCAGCGGGGGTTCAGGAGTCAGCCACCTTTGGCCATCTCCCTTGCCTTCCTCCGCGTCCTCCCCACTGTAGGGGGGAGCGTTCCTGCAGAACAGGGAAGGCAATTCAGAATATCACCAGTGGAACAGAGCTGCTGCTGAAACCACAGTGTTGTCGTAATGGTGGCGGCTTGCAGCTACCAAGGGCCAGAGGCCCGACGACCGCGCCGAAACCAGCAGCCAGGATGCGTTTCTTGTCCCTTCCAGTTCTCCTCCCTCCTCCACCACGTTCTACCCGCGGCTGGGAATCTAGAGCTGAATAGTTCCAGCCTGCCAGAGTTGGTGGAGCGAACGACGACGCCAATGGCGACATGTGACGACGCGCGGAGGGGGAGGATTGGTGCGGAGGCCGCGCGGACACAGCAGAGAGCGGCACTCTTCGTGTCCCATGTGCGATCCCTGCCAGACCTGCGAGGAGCGGGCCCGTCTCGGGCCCCAGGGACCAGCATCCCCAGCGTCCAGAGAGACCCGGACCATTCGGAGGTGGATAGAGCTCCTACCCTGACACGTGGATTCAGGAATCGGCCGTTTTCTGTTCGCGAGGGGGCGTCGCGGCCGTCATTTTTGCGGGTCCAGGTCCGTCGGTTTCGGTCCCAGGCCGTTTTCGCAAAGGGGAGGTTCACTACAGGGAGGTCTGTCCACCGCCAAGCCATCAGCGGTGCAGGAGGACACACCTGGTGAGGCAACACCGACGGAGACGTGTGCATTTTTCCTTCGTCGAGGACCATAGAGGAGCATCCTTGATCACTGGGCGAAAAAAAACACACACTAAACCAAAAAAACACAGGGAGTCGACGTCCGAGCGATGGCCAGGGGGAGGTTTGCTAAAGGGAGGTCTGTCCACCGCCGAACCACCAGCGGTGCAGGAGGACACGCCCGGTGAGGCCACACCCCGGCGGAGGACGTGCGCGCGGCGTGGGCGGCCGGTGCCGGCACGGGAGATCGAGCACGGCACGGCGCGCGGACTCGGCGCCTGGCGCGCGGACGCGGCACGGCGCTCTGGCCGCCTGTCGAGACTTCGCAGGCACGGCGCGGCACGGCACGGCACGGCGCGGCTCCTCCTCCTCCTCCTCCCCCTTGCGCTCCTCCTCCTCATGCTCCTCCTCCTCCTCCTCCTCATGCTCCTCCTCCTCCTCATCCGTATCCTCCTACTCCTCCTCCTCCTCCTCCTCCTCCTCCGCGGCACGGCACATTTCTTCGCATGCTGCAGCGCTGGCGCGGTGAGGCACGGCAGGGCGGGCGGTGCCTCGGCGCGGCACGGCACCTTTGGTTCGTGTCCTGCAGGGAGGGGCACGGCAGGGCACGCGGCACATGTTTTCTCAGAGCCTGGGCGCGGCGCGGCACGGCGCGGCACGGCGCGGCACGCGGGCGTCGCACGGCACGGGATGTTTCCGCATGCCAGATTCGTGGCGCGGTGCGGCAGGGCGCATCTCTCGTGTGGTAGACCTCAGGCGCAGCACGGCATGCGGGCACGGCGCGCCACGGCGCGTGACGCCGGCGGCATGTTTCTCGTATCCTATTCGACAGACCTGGTTTTTCCCGAATGGGATGCAGACCCGCTGCGGCAGTCGCTGATTCGGGCTCAAAAATATTCGGGGTGAAGCATCCGTCTTCGGAGGCGTCCAAGAGGTGGGTGAGGACTAGGCGTGTGTGCATATCATGACCAGGACCATGGGATCTTCAACACTTCATTTTCTCGACGCCCCCTCGCCCGCGCTCATGCCTCGGGCCATGATGCCCTTACCTCCTTCTTTGTGGCCCCCCTCTTGGGCACACCTGATGCTCTTGCAACACATCTCCTTTCTCGAAGTCGCAGTCCACTGTCTGCCTTCTCAGAGGAGCGCCCTCTGGAGATCGGGGTGCGGGCCGCACCACGCCGTACAGTCAACCCGCATACGGTAGGTTTGTGTCGTGCCGAGCGGCGGCGGCCCTCCGCCAGCGTTTCACGTTGAACGCCTCCGGCGACCCAGAATCGGTCAAAGCTGAACGATTTGACGTTTCGGAGACCGCCGGTCATGAAAGGTTGAACGATCCCCGTTGTGTTTGGAATCAACGCCGACGTCGGCACGACCGAACTTTCTGTAGCAAGGACGAGCAGCTCTCTGAGGGTACCATTGCGTCCTTCCCCTTCGGCACATCCGCGCCCGCTTTCGCTGGCCGCGCCCCGCCCGCAAAGTGTCGACATGGCTTTCCAAGGCACTTGCGTCCTTACCGCGCGTCCTTCCAGGGCTCATTTCGATTCCTCCGATTCGATTCGATTCGATTTTGGTGGCTTCCGATTCCGATTCGATTCGACATGCGATTCCGATTTGGGCTCCGCTTTCATAACGGAGGCCTTTTAGGCTGCCGATTTCCGCCGATTCGACTTTTCCCGACTCGGCTGCCGATTTCCGCCGATCCGATTCATTTCGATCGCCGATCCGAGTTGTCGATTCGACTCTGGGGGCGCCTGCCTTCTGATACGGTATGACTGCACCGCGTCCATGCGAAACGCCGGCCCCCATGGATCAGCAGCCACTTTGGCTCAGACGACTCTCGAGGAGCTCAGGCTGCTCGACAAGAGGGCCCGCCTGCAGGCTGACGGCCCCCCCTCCCGTGTCGCCCGCCTGGCGACCTTGACCGCGGGGCCCCGATGTTCGGCGGATATGGCCGCAACGCCGGCTACAGCAGCATGGTCCCCGTCCCCGCGGCCGACTGCGGGCCCGCAGGCTACGGCGCCGGCCACGGCGCGGGCTACGGCGCGGGTGCGGTCGGCGTCGGCGGTGGCTACGGCGCGGGCGGCATCGGCGCCGGCGGCATCGGCGGGGGCTACGGCGCGGGCTACGGCGCGGGCGGCATCGGCGGGGGCTACGGCGCGGGCTACGCAGGCGGCTACGGCGGCCACGGGGTGGGCGGCCACGACGCGTGCGGCTGCGGCGAGTCTGGGTGTTCCGCGTGCGCAGCGATCTGCTGCGGCGGCGGAGGCGGGACGACGGTGCTGTCGTACGTGGGGGCCGGCGGCGACTACATCCAGGAGACGTCTTACAGGTACTCGAAGGGAAGGAAACGGCCTAAGCAGAAACTTCCGGAGGTCCGCCCGGGTTTCTTGGATCTTTGCATGGCCCCCCAGCGGCGCCTCCGGCGTCGCCCCTGGTGCGTTGATCCAAGAAATCAGCGCGGATCTTGGGCAGTGCATGTTTATGCATTTCTTTGTTCCTCGTGTTCTAGGTACGTAGGCGCCGGCGCTGGCGAGTTCGGCATCATCCGCATCCCCGGGCGCGGGCCGAGCTGCTGCATATGCCTGGCCATCCCGCTGCTGCTGCTCGTTCCGCTCCTCCTGTGGCTGTGTATGCTCTCGGGCTCCACGACCACGTCTACGACGACCACGACGCCGATCTGGACCACGACGCCCCCGCCAGATTTCCCTACGACCACCACGAAGGAAAAAACGACCACCAAGCGCACGACGCCACCTCCACCTCCGCCCCCCCCACCGCCCCCGCCCCCGCCCCCGCCGCCGCCTCCCCCACCGCCGCCCACGACCCCGAAACCCACAACGACACCGTGCCCCATAGATTGTAATGCCGGATACAATGACCTGGACCCGCTGCAGTGGGTGCATGGGTGGAGCGGGGCCAAGAAGCTTTACTGCTGCAAGACGGCGAACAAGGGCTGCCCCTCGGAGCTTCCCCCGCCCTCCGGGCTCCCGCCCTCAGGGCTGCCGCCTGTGCCGGATAACCGCGAGTTCGACTGCAACGCTGGCTACCACGCCTGCATGCATTGCTTGGAAGCGTCCTGGTCGCCGCGAAAGATTCAATGGTGCTGCGCGAGGGAGCACAAGGGTTGCAAGGGTGAAATTCCAGAGTGA